CTGGTCTAAACAAAAGAGCATGGTGTGTCAAGCAACACCATCTATGAACTAGCTCTATGTGTGAATGCAATCTGCATAATACAAGCCCAGAAAGAGAGGTGTATTTAACAGGAAAAACTATTAAATGGCAAGAAATTCTGGCATATAGTTTACTATGAAATTCTTGTTGTGAAAAGTAGGCTATGTGCTTTCCAAAGTGCAGGTAAAAATGCCATAGGAAGGTCTACCTGAAGTCAAAATCAATAATTGCCCTTGCTTTCTTCCAGGATTTTTTTAAATTGCCCAGTCTGGCCTAAGGCTCTGATGTTTCCTAATACAGTAGTCTGCCATCCAAGTACTAACTGGAAACCTCTTTAACTTTTTAAAACCAGACTTGGGTGGTCAGGGGCTGCTGCCAAGTTGGACCATGAGGAGGATACACTATCGGTATCCATAATTGTAATAAGACTAGGCTTTAAAAAACCATGCTACATTGTAGTGTTGGATTTTGGCTTAGTAGAATGTTTGAACTCCATCAGAAGTGTTCATATGGACAGGATCAAAAACTCAACATGGTGTCCCCAATCATCCAATCAAAGTCTCACACTCTTTTTATGGGAGTACTTACTTTTAGACTGAACATGTCTAAAGCCCATCAATTTTTCTTATGGAAAGTATGCCAATTATTTATTTTAGAAAACCAAATAAAAAGTTATGGGAGAGACAATGTAAGACTGGCAACAAAATATTTATTTTTGCCTTTCAATTGAGGCACAAAGCCTTAATGATGGTCCACAACAACAAAGAAATTAAGCTTATTTCACTATATCCAACTTCCTGTTCCATGTAACTGAATTCTAACAGATTCCAAGCATGCTCTATTATCTTATATACAGTAGTTTGTCCTTAAATACTTCCAGTATTGTCCAGGGTTTACTGAGGTCTTTTCTACCAGACACAATTCTTTTGTTAACTTAAAGAAGTCTCAGTTTCTCCAACAGATGTGGACTTAGAAGCAGTAAAACCATGAAGACCCAATAGTGCAAATAATAAATGCTTAAGTCAAATATGCTACCAACAACCATTTTCAAGCAAATCAAAGTTTCTGTTAGGTTCTATATAAGCATTTAAAACAGCTTTTCCAGAACTGGCTTAATCCTAATTACTAATATAATGAAAGGCCAATTTATTCTTATCATAATAGTAGTTATGAAAGCTCTTTAAAGTTTTATATATGTTGTTTACTTAATAGTACCATTACAATGTTTATTAAAGACAGCTTTTAGGATGCATACAGGAGTTGCAGATACATCATAATTGGAGGGCTGCTGTTTGAGGATGTTTGCTCAAATTTGCATGTTTATGACTGCAGGTTTACTATCATAACACACACTCTCTTTACAGGATAAGTAACTTTCCCAAAGTAATTCCTTTTTTAATCTCGTCTTTACTTTTCAAGCCACCATGAATCTTTTATATAAATCAACTTTGTGTTAACTATTTAGTAAGCAGGTTGCCCGCTGTATAGATGTATTATTATACAGTTCATAAAATCACTAGCCAATATAACCCAAGAGCATTTGCTGTAACTCAAACCCAAATTATTATAAGACCAAATAAGCCCTGAAGACATCACAACGTGATTTATTTAACAAGTACAGTAATTCACTTAACAACCATGGCCAAAAAGGTCATAAATCAGGCACGACTCACTTATACAACTACCATGCTTAGCAATAGAAATTCTGGTCCCAACTGTGGACATAAGTTGAGGACTACCTGTAAATCTATTTAATAAATAAATAAATAAATACAGAATTCTCATATTCTCAACTTTGATCTAAGAGATGTTTCTTTAGAAAGTCCCTGGAACTTGTCATGTAATGGAGCAATGGCATGCATTCTAGAGAGAGCTCAAAGTTAAACATGCAAAAAATGTTACTAACCTAAATACATGGAATCAGAAGTCTTATATTCTGAGGAGCGTAAACAAATATTTATTCAAAGGTCTAGTTAATCTGAAATCAATAAAGTAATGCTAGTAATTCCTTTTCTCTGAGCCAACCCACTTATTTAGAATGGCAGATGTTAAGCTCAGGCAAACAGATTTTTCTGTTTTGCCTCTTTAATTAGCAGGATACTCATTTTTCACATTAAAGGGACTTGATAATAGGATCTATCAAAATGGTTCTCTCTCTCTCCTGGTTATTACAAACTTCCTCAGTGTCCCATGTGTTCTCTTTCTTCATTTTCTGCTTATTATGTTCTGGTACCTTTTCTGTTCCTTCATCTATTACTCTAGTATTTCATTCTTAACACTGCTGGCTGGTTTCTGGAAAATTCAGTGTTTTGACTGTTAGTTACAAGTGGCAGTGTTTCACACAGACAAAGCCAATTGGCTACTTCTCCATCTTCTAGACTTCTTTAGTCAAATCCAACTAACTGTTCTCCAAGTCAGTTTCATCTCTAGGAAGAAGAAGAAGACAGTCTCTTTCCCTCATGAAAACTTTCACAGATTTCCTCTTAGGAATACTTAAGGTAACATTTTTCTAATACCCTGTATATATATATTTTTTGCCACATGCTGATTTTTGCTACTGCTGTTTTTTTCCATGTTGCTCCAAGTCATGAATTTTGACATCAAATTGGAGGTTTTCAATTTCCCAATATAAGAAATTAGAGAAGTCATGTTATAGTCTTAATGCTGCAGTCTGAAAGACACTTTCTCAAAGGAAAGGCACATGATTTTGCTATTAGTAATTAGTTCATTTTAGATAGCAGCTAAAAATTCAGGCAATCTATTGGTTTAATGAGGAATTCTCTGTGTTTTCTATCTAAACACTGTGTCTGCTTTGTTTGAACAGTATAATTTAAGATGTGTCTGTATATAAAGTGAAAGATAATATATTTACATGATTTACGTTTTTTTACCATTCTTTCAAGGATAATGGTAGACACACCAAAACAAAAACAAAAAGCAACCTGCATTTCAACCCTTAGGATAATGTTTTCTGGCTTGTAAAACAGTACATGAAATGCATGCTTTTATCTTTTTAGGATCTAATTATCTAAATTTACTAAGAAAAAATAAGAAAGAAAAAATACAAGACAACAGTGCAGATAAGAAACATAAGCTACAGCAAAAGCAAGTCATGGAAGCAGAATAAAGATATTATTAAATCCCTTTATAAGGGAAGTGAACATATCACATGCAGAAATCACAACATATCAGTATTCAACCCTCAATGAATTTAATCTTATATACCGTACTTTCTAATTAAGTCTTCCCAGGCTAGTTAGTTGTCTTTAAAATAAAGCACAATGAAATAAAATCTGCTCAGGCCAAGTAGTTTGTTCATCAATTCAGTGTTGAAATAATCTGTCATTAAAAGATTTGGAAAATATAAATTGATTTGGTACAAAAAAGTGGTAATTATGGAATGGAATTTTGAAGTAAAACCTAATCAGGATAAAGCTTGTTTTTTGCACAAAACAAAAAATAACATTTTAAACCCAGAGATTTGCTAAAGAGAGGATACAATTTATCAACATTATCAGCAATATCTCCTCTTTTTACTGTAAAATAATCATACCTTTTTTAAAAAAGTTTTTAAGAGTACATTAAGGAATTATTTCACATAATATAGTTAGCTTTCATAAATATTGATTTAGGGTTCATAAAAAATCTCATAATGTTTCATAACGGGTAGTTAATAGAAAATGAAAGCAATAGATGATTACTGAAACACACATTTAAGAAGGCAAGACTGTAAGAAGAAAGGACAGGAGAGTGGGGATCCGACTATGGTTGAATTGCCATGTCATTGGTAGTACAATTACATTTCTAGCAATTTCAGCTGTGACTGCTTGTGAAGACTGGTTTATTAGAAATGAAAATAGGCACTTAAATACATCAGAAAGGGAATGCTAACCTGAGAAATAACTGCCACATTAATGTAAACAAACAAGGGGCAAAGAACTGAGACACTTTCTTACTCTTTGTTTCATGCACAAGACTGAAGGAATCCCTCCATCTGTATCACACTTGGGCCATTTTTTTTCTTATATTTGTATACCTGAAGATTATTCTAAATAGAGGCAGCAAATATTTATTTTAAAGTGATTACTTTTTTTAAAGAATACATTACCAGAGTAATTTAAATTGGTATCCATCCAAGAATGAGTTGCATTTTTGAATTTTTCGCCTGTTGCTTATCATAAATATTTAAAGTATTGTTGGGAAATGGCCTCTTTAGCTGAAACTGGAAGGTACATTATTGGATATAACACTTTTTTTAAAAAAAAGAGGAAAGAGAAAACCTGGAAAATTATTCATCTGTTAACATAAATTCTGTTCCGTTAAAAAAAAGTTGTTGCTGTGACAAAATGGAAGGCACCACTTTGGATCACTCAACATTTTCTTGACTCACACTGTCCTATCCTTGCCAGTGAACTCAACTGGAAATAAATTGCAGACAGCATGGAAAGTTTCTGCTTCACCAAAAAAAAGACCCTTCCTTCCTTCCTTCCTTCCTTCCTTCCTTCCTTCCCTCCCTCCCTCCTCTGGTCTTCTGAAAAGTATGTATCTCATACATATATGAAGAGAGCTGTATTGGCCTGTTGCAACCAAAAACAAGATGGAGTCTGGTAGCACCTTTTTAGTTTAAACATTTTGTGTTGATGTTCCCAGACTCCTAACCTCTGATTGCCTCACTCAGAAAAGCGTGAGATGTTCCTCAAGACGGGGCCAAAGTTTCTCTCTCACCAGCCTGGAAAGGGTTACAGGGAAGGAGCCGGTGACGTCTCAGCTCCCTTTCTCCAATCAGGATATAATCAACAGCCACGGTTCAAAGAAGCAGAAGGAAGCAAGGAAGGGCTTCTTCGGCGGTCCTGCCACTCTTCTTGCTCGCGGTCACTTCAGGCGCTTTCTCCCCTCCCTCCCCTTTCTCCCTTCACTCCCCGCCTCGGGGGTATTCCTTTCTCTTGGCTTTTGGGCCCCCCTGGAAACTGCCATCCTGAAGTTTCTGGTGGTGCTACTGGCCGCAGGGATGCTCGCTTTCCTTGGTGCAATCATTTGCATCATCGCGAGCGTCTACCCTGCGGCCAGCCATGCCGGAGCCCTGCAAGGTGCTGATAATGGCTCCAATGCCGCGGCCTCTGCCCTGCTGCCCGCCTCCGGGTCCGACAAGACGCTGGGCGCCCTCCACGGGACCGGCGAAAGCAGCTACGGGGGCTTCTCGACAGGCGCCCAGGACTCTGTGCTAGACCTCCTGGCTAGCGCCCGGCCGCAGCAGCACCAGCAACTCTTCAGCCGCTTCCTGTGCACCCCGCTGACGGTCGAGTGCCCCGCGGAAGGAAGCCCGCAAGGGGACAGTCCCGCGGCGGCGGCGGCGGCGGCGGCGAGCGAGGAGCTGTTCTTCCTCCAGAGCACGGCCGAGCAGCTTAGGCAGACGGCGCAGCAGCAGAAGGAGCAGATCCGCACCGACCAGGAGACTATCCGGGAGCTGACCACCAAGCTGAGCCAGTGTGAGAATGGGCTGGAGCTCAGTTTCCAGGACAGTCCCTCAGTCTGGGGGGTCCCCAGGCAAGACGCCATGCCCATGGACGACCTGTCGTGGGATTCGCCTGTTATGATCCAGGAACTGGAGGAAGCGGTTAGGTCTCTGAAAGACAGGATTGACAAGATCGAGGTAAAATAATAAAAAAATCATCCTGCTGTTTTTCCCACTCCAATTTCCCCACCTTATCCGTTTTCTTTTTTTTCTATTTTTTTGCAAGGGTCCCGCAAAAAACTTCTCTTTGCTTCTCTTGCTTGCTTCTCTTTTTTTCCGTCCATCGGTTTTTCAAATTGCAGTTTAGACATTCAGATAATATGTAATTGAATTAAAGCTATCTTCTTCTGGCCCTAACTGAGCAAGATGTCAAGTGCCAAGGGCCATGTTGTGGAAATGAGGAATAGTTGTGCGCATATGGAGAGAGGAGATCCAATGGGTTGGTATACTGGACGCTTCATGTTCATATTATATTAGGCACTTTCTATCAACACTACCGTTAGCGACTTCAAAATAAATATAAATATTCTTGGAAGTTAAGTAATTACTCCTCAAGATGTTATCAGATTGTAGACTTATTCATTGCAAGGCCTAATGCCAACAACAATAGAAAGAAGTTTCATACAGCAAGAGATAATTTCACATCTATTCAAGAAATTGATCTAAAGCTATTTTACCCTTTCTTTGACAATATTTTTGGAATTCTTCTCCAAATCTCTTCTTTATATTTCATTAAAATGAATAAGGGCAGACCTCACTTAAGGCAACTATGAGTGATATTCCTTTTGAAATTTATTTTTGTGTGTGAGAGAGAAAGGGGGGAGAGGAGGAAAGTAGTTTGCATTTTCCTTGTCAATGATTTTTAGAAGATGGGAAATCTACTGAGATTGGAGTTTTAAGTATTGAGTACCATTTTCCATGTTACATAATACAGTTTGCAACCAAATGTGTATTTGAAAGGTTGCAGAAACCAATCCCACCTTTCCAGGTAGTGCACCCCACTATCAAACATATGTGTAAACATTTTTTTAAATTTGTGATCTCAGTGTATAGGTGCAGACATAAAATAACAACAGTCTATAGGCACTATTATAGTCCTTAAGTTCTAGTTTGATGTATGTCTGTTCACTGTCATCAAGGTTTCTCTTTTGTCAGGAACTTGGTGCCAGTTTCAAGACAGGTAATTGCTTGATATTTCTGCAGACATGGCACCCCATAGCATAGTGATCATTTAGGAAACCATTTCAGAAGATTTATCACTGTGTGAACCATAGATTCCCACAATATATCATTACAACATGAATAAGTAATAAAAATGAAGTATAAATTCTTTTGAGGATTTGTGAAGTCTTGAACTAGTTATAATTATTCTGATGTAGTTATAATGATACTCCTTTTATATGCTCTTTGAAGTTTCCTGCTTTGGGAAGATGACCACTGAAAAATCTATTCAGACTTACTTTGATTTCTTTCTAGAGTTAGATAAAGACTGTTGCATTTTCCCAAGATTTTAATTTAATTACTTATTTTTCCCCTTTTAATTATTGAAAAGTTGTTTTCTCCATTTTACATATTAATTTTAGCTTAATTTCTACAAACTAATCTGTTATTTTTATTTTCTATATTAATTTCACTTTAATTTCTATAAGCTGCCCTGTATTTTTCCCCCATATGAAAAGGTATGGTATATAAATACATGAGATACATAAAAACATTTCTTTCTAGCTGTTTTAGGAGGATGTGGCTGAATCCAGACTTATAGAAACTCTGTTCCTTCCAGAAATGGAAACAGACTAGACAGTCTATAATAGCAAACATTAAACAGCACAGTTCATTCTCAGATTTTGTCTAGCCAGATTGCAATTTGTGTTATTTGAATGGGTTATTAAAAATTCAGTATACTGATATTGCTACAACTGTCAATTATTACTCATCATCCTGCCTATATTAGACATAAGTATAAACCTCTCTTATTAATTTTACAGCAGTGCTTTAAGAACTTCAAGATCAAAAAATAATTATTGGTTGAACTGCACTGATTAGAAATACATGTTGCTAAAAGGAAGGACTGACAGTTCATCCCATGCATGAAGTTCTGTCACATAAGAGTCTTCACAGAGGAAATAACTCTATTGCTCATTCTGTTAATCTCCATGGTATCTTGCGCATACGTGCGTGCGCACACACACACACACATTCTATAAAATATCTTTGACTACCTTGAATGAGCAAGAAGCCTTTGATATGTTGCACCCATTCCCAGTGCTTGAGACACTAAGTAGGTGTACAGGTAATCCTTGACTTACAACAGTTCATTTAGTGACCATTCAAAGTTACAATGGCACTAAAAAATGATCTATGAATATTTTTCACATTTACGACAGTTGCGGCATCCCCATGGTCCCTTGATCAAAATTCAGACGCTTGGCAACTGATTCATATTTATGACAGTCACAGTGTCCCGGGGTCATGTGTTCAAATTTTGCCAACTTCTGATAAGCAAAATCAATGAGGAAGCCAGATTTACTTAACAACCAGGTTATTAACAACTGCAGTGATTTACTTAAGAACTGTGGGAAGAAAGGTCATAAAATGAGGCAAAACTCAACAAATGTCTCACTTATCAACAGAAATTTAGGGTTCAATTGAGATTGTAAGTTGAGGACTACCTGTATTGTTCTATCTGTGGATAGGTAGGTATAATTTCTTGGCATCTTCCAGTTTTATATAGATTATTTTCTATAAAGTTTAAAAGAATGGTTTTTAGTGTTGCAGTCTGAATTTTCTTTCAGGGACTTTTCTTCAAGGAGGTTTGAGTTCTGTATTAATCATAATGATCAAACTTAATATTAACACATTTCAATATTCTTTGATTCAGGTTAGCCTTGTTGCTAAACTGAGATTTTATACAAGAAAACCATAGTATCAACATTTCAAATACACAGTAATTGTTTCAGATACCAAGGAATCTTTGAAGATAAAAATGGGATACATCTCATAAGTTCTAATGTAATTCCTAATAAATCAAACTCTAATGTTGATTTAGACAGATATCTTTATCATAGCCATTAAACAGAAATTTGCTAAAATCCAAATGAATGTGAGGGGATTTCTTATGCCCTAGCTACTGATATATATATTTTTTGCTTATAGAAATATACATGAATATCTGACAATGGACTACATTAATCAAAAATCCAAAAGTTGGGTCACATATTGTAAAATGATGGAGTGTTTCTCCATCCAGTTTCCTCTCACTTTTTCAACTTCAGATATTGACATCTTGAATGACTAATATTGTTTGGCATGTTACAAACTTTTGGAGGGCTCGGAAATCAAGAAGTACACTCTGCACTCCTCCCCACTTTTGCTTCAACAGATGGGAAGTTATGAGCTCACCCAACAGCTTTTAAATATATATTCTGAAATTTTTTTCTTCCTTCCAAAAATTCTTTGATAAATACCACCCACTGCATCATGAGTTCAGGAAGTTAATTGGGTACAGGAGACAGAACGGCTTCAGGTTATAAGTTCTGGAAAGTTTACAATTTTCTGGCAATTTACAGAGCCAACCTAGCCAAGAATGAAATGTTAGATATGCACATTCTTTGGCAAGATATGGTTTTGCCCAAATCATTCAGCAGCTAAGCACAATTCACTATTCCCTAGACCAGTGGTTCTCAACCTGTGGGTCGGGACCCCATTTGGGGTCGATCGACCATTTCATGGGGGTCGCCAAGCAAGGCTGTCCGCCATTTTTTTGTCCACCACTTTTTTTGTCCACCATTTTTTCCCCTTTTCCGGCGGGTGCCTTACCTCCCTTGGGCTGGGCCAGCTGGTGGTCGGCCTGCTCCGTCTCTGCCGCTTGCCAGCTATGCCTCGGCCAGCGCAGGGGGTGGAACCACGCATGTGCGGCGCTCCCGGGCAGGGATAGTCCTCGACATACGACCGGTTGGGTAGTCCTTGACTTACGACTGGTTTAGTCCTCGACTTACGACCGGTTTAGTCCTCGACTTACGACCAGTTGGGGTCGCGGCATTAAAAAGGTTGAGAACCACTGCCCTAGACTATATTTGCAAAACAACTCAATTAGCTCCCATTTGTCCCAACTTTATATATACCTGCCTACTGGAGATAACAATGGAAGCTAGTGGAGATACATTGGTATCTCCCATTCTCTTTTTTGTTACTTATAATGAGCCCATGGGCTTCCCAATAGCTTTGTTAAAAGATGAAGCCAGGTTTTTTGTAGAAGAAAATTATATGATGTGTAACAATGTCTCTTGACTGATATTTCTCATTTTCGGTTAGCTCTGTGTGTTTTCCACATTCACTGTAGCTACTTGATAATGAAATAAGTGAAATAAGACCTCATCCCATTCATGAGAATGTTATTGAAATGCTCTTCTTTGAAATACATTTCAAAATAAATTTTTCTTTCATTAAATGACAATGAATAGTAAAATTACAAGATAATTTTTCCCCGCACAGCTTTCAGTTATATACTTGGAATCTTACTGTTTTGCTTTGGTTCAGCTAAAATATAAATATTGGTGCATTTCTTGTAAGTTTAAAACTCTGGGTCTTTGAGAGACAATATAACATGGGAAATAAGGGAAGCTTTTTGCTTGTGTTATTCTAGAAATAATGGGTATAACTTGTAGCTACCTAGATTTTATTTAGGGAAAATGATAATAGTTAAGATCTGCACAAAATAGTGAAAGTCTGCCTATGAAAATCTCTCTGGAGATTTTCAAGAAGAGACTGGGCTGTTACCTCTCAAAGATAATCTAATGCAGGCATGTCAAACTCGCGACATCACATGACGTCGCGCAACGTATCGGGCCGGTTTTGCCATTGCCGGCAATGGGGTGGGCACGGCTTCCACGTGACCTGTCCGGCCCGCGGGCCGGTAGTTTGACACCCCTGATCTAATGGGTGATAATAAACAAATCTGTGATTAGTAAAATTCATATTATCTAGATCAAAATGGTGCCTTAATAAGAAGCATAATTAATTTCTTACTATCCATATTTTGTGTATATTTTGGATGTCAGCCATTCACCCCCACACTATTACCCCTCTAACCTTTCCTAGCATTCTTTTATTTTTTTATTAACTTCAGCAATGAAAGATTT